AAAGCTATTTATATTTAGCCAGGCTAAATTATCAGTATCTTACAACTGTATAATTTACCAATATAAACTTCTGTTAAAATTAACTCGTAGATTCGTTTCTGTTTGATACTGCCAATAACTTGTCATAGTGAATATTCATGTAGCCTGAATTTGTTGTGTCTTGTGTCCATTACGTGACATTTATTTACAGTAAATTCCATCATCCATCTTTCACCTCATTTGCTCAATTTGTCCAGGTCATCTTGCAGAGATTTACAGTCATTTTTGTCCTTTATTTTCCATAATATTCTTGCATCATTCGCAGACACATTCAGCTTCCTATTCCTTCCGGAGTCATTTATATAAACTACAAACATTATCTGCTTCACTACAGATTTTTAAGACACCACTGGTGACACTGGCACCCGTGGTGACACTGTGGCACCCCTGGTCACACTGTGGCACCCCTGGTCACACTGTGGCACCCCTGGTCACACTGTGGCACCCCTGGTCACACTGTGGCACCCCATTAATGATACTTCTCACGAGGTTTTATTTTTCATCTTATAACTGTTGGCATTTTCCTCTGGATAAATACAATCTTCCCATCCATTTCTCTCTTCAACAATTTCTGTGGCTCGGTTATAATATACACTAATAGATTTGATATATAGAAATTCGTGAGCCAAAAGTGAGGAAGAGAGAAGAGAGAGAGAGAGAGAGAGAGAGAGAGAGAGAGAGAGAGAGAGAGAGAGAGAAGAGAGAGAGAGAGAGAGAGAGAGAGAGAGAGAGAGAGAGAGAGAGAGAGAGAGAGAGAGAGAGAAAACTGTCAGTGGTGACAATAAGGCAGGAGGAGGTGCATTTCCTTCTTAAATCGCTTGACCAAGAAAAGGCTGTGGGCCCAGACAAGTTGAGCCCAAGATTGTTGAGAAGACTGCAGACCAGCTAGCAGCACCTCTAACTCGCATCTTTCAGCACTGCCTAGTACAGTGTAAATGGCCCTCTCTATGGAAAGAGGCAAATGTAGTCCCTGTTCACAAAAAGAAGAGCAGAGCAGAAATCAGCAACTACAGACCAGTGTCACTCCTGTCAATCACTGGTAAGATCCTTGAGACAATAATCTCAAGACAAATGACAGAGTTTTTTGACTACCACTCACTACTTTGTGATCGTCAATATGGCTTCAGGAAAGGTTACTCTGCTGCTGATCTGTTGTTAAACCTCTCCACTAAGTGGCACCAGTCACTGGATGAATCCAAAGTCAGCTGTGTGGTAGCACTGGACATTGCTGGCGCTTTCGACCGGGTGTGGCACCAGGGCCTCTTAGCAAAACTTCAAGCACGGGGAATTGCAGGCTCTACGCTATGTCTCCTCAGTGATTACCTTCATGTTAGATCTCTAAGCGTAGTCCTCAATGGAACGGAATCAGCAAGACATCCTATTGGGGCAAGTGTTCCACAAGGAAGCTTTGCTGGGTCCATTGTTATGGAATGTCTACTTCAACGACCTTCTCATATCATCCAGAATCACATGCATATGCAGACGACTGTACACTGACATTCACTTATCCAAGAGAAGAAATTCCAGCTGCTCTAAGTACATCAATCACCAGCTGAGAGCTATATCAGCTTGGGGAATATATGGCAGTAACATTTGCACCTGAGAAAACGCAAATGATGATCGTCTCTAGGCACCATGATGGTAATGCTGGGGCATTTTAAGGATGAATGGGAGGATGCTGGCACCTGGAGAAGAAGTTTTATATCCTTGGGGTGAAATTGACTCCAAACTAACCATGAAGAACCATGTTGTAAATCTTGCAAACAAGGCAGCCAGGAAGCTTACAGCACTTCGCCGTATCTCGCATCTGCTTGACAGTAGGGGTTGCAAGATCCTGTAAAGAGGCACAAGTACGCTCACACCTTGAGTATGCCCACTTTCTTGTTTGCCTGCCCCCCCTGTCATCTGCGACTGCTTGACAGAGTAGAGAACAGAGCAAGACGTCTCATCTCTCGCCTGGACCCATCCTGGATAGATCTGGCATTTCAGCAGAGCCTTCAACTAGGAGGGATGTGGGTGGCCTTACTGTTATGTACAAGGCCAATATTGTCAAAATACCACACTTGGCTCCACTTCCGAGGACAGCGTGAAACAAGCTTTTATGCCACAAGACGGACAGAAAGCAGCAACTTCACTCTGGCTGTACCCTTCTCCAGAACATCACTCCATCTGAGATCATACATACCCAGGATGACTCGAGTATGGAACACATTCGTACAGCATAATGATGTCAACGAGATAAAGTCAGTTGATCAAATGAAAATGCTGGCCCACAGATGTCTCCAACTTCATCCTGTTCCCTACTTGTATGTCTCATAACAATAAAAATGCTTTCAAATGAGCTGATGTAGGTAACAGCTCTTAGCTTGCCAATAAAGTTAGGAATCCTTAACCTGTAAATAGCTGTCAATAAAGCTAGGGATCCTTAACCTTGTCAAACCCTGTGAAAAAGAGAGAGAGAGAGAGAGAGAGAGAGAGAGAGAGAGAGAGAGAGAGAGAGAGAGAGAGAGAGAGAGAGAGAGAGAGAGAGAGAGAGAGAGAGAGAGAGAGAGAGAGAATGTGTGTGTGTGTACTCACCTAACTGCGGTTGCAGCTCCTGGCCCCGCCGTGTATATCTGTAGTTACCAACTGTCAAAGGCACTCGTCAGGGTGCGTGTATACTTACCTATTTATGATTACCGGGGTCGAGTCGCAGCTCCTGGCGTGTGTGTGTGTGTGTATATATATAACTGTTGTTCACCATCTTTAGTGACCTTGAGATGAAGAGGAAACCCGTGTTCGTGAGTGCATATGAGTGTGTACTTACCTGAATATGTATGTGCTTGCAAGGCACAAGGGTCGAGTCTTAGTTCCTGGCCCTCTGTGTGTGTGTGTGTGTGTGTGTGTGTGTGTGTGTGTGTGTGTGTGTGTGTGTGTGTGTGGTGTGTGTGTGTGTGTGTGTGTGTGTGTGTGTGTGTTTATCTACCCATGTACGGGATGAAAACTGAGTTAATCTTCAGCTCCTGGGCTGCCTCTTAACTTTAAATCAAGTGATGTACTTGATTACCACCTTCTGTGTACTATCGTACCTAATTTTGAATTAAGTATGATAAATTATGAACGGGAAAATTATGCGTTCACAATACATGGACAAGAAAAGTATTAACTCAACCTGTCCTTTAAATAAAGCGTTATTTTTTCCACTCGATAAACTATTTTAATTCTTCATCATCTAAACAGTGAAAAAAATACGTATATTAATTATACACGTGAACAAACACGTGTTGCTCTTAACCACTTATGGTATCAATTACTAAGATTTATATTTAGGCATAATTAAGAAACAGTAAGTAAACAAGAGCGCAAAACACCTGCTGGAAGCGTTGGTAACTCAACGCGGCGGCTTGAAGACCTTACTCCCACACAGCTGGTTATCTGTCAACCACTTGTACTTATTTCATTGCCCTTACACTGTAAATAATTTAAACAAATAATTTTCACAGGCTTCGAGTTATCCTGCCTCAGCGTTTCCTACCCAACGTTTCCGCTCGAGGATCGAACCGCGGACATTCGGTGCGCGAGCTGAGTGCGTTACTAACCGAGCCACAGAACACTTTTCTTACAGTGTAAACGTTTGTTTTACAATATAGCCTTTTGTTCTTAAACTGTAAACGTTTGTTTTTTTTACAGTGTAAACGTGTTCTTACAGTGTAAGGTTTGTTCTTATAATGTAAGTTAAATTCAGCGACTATGGAAATGGGTGACAATCAGATGAGATCCAAGAAGGGTAAGGAGAAAAAGGGTTTATTTCTTGGATCAAGAGCCTTTCACCAGCATCAAGAACTTCCCCTCCCCTCGTTGTATAGACTCTTGTGTACTCCCACATCACTGTTGATATCCCTAAATAATGGCCCAAAGAAACCCATGGACACAATAAAACGGCTAATAAAATATGCAGTATATTTCGTCCTCATACTGAGGCCCTCTTCAGCAGACTGACTAGGTTTATACACTTAAATAAAATGGCTATGACTCCTCGTTATTTTCTTGAGTAAACTGATACACTGATGATACAGCTTGTTTCTTGTTCTCCTTACTTCATACGTATCTTTCACATCACTTCCTCTTCTCTTTGCGTGCCGTACCCTGGGCACGTCGTGAGGTTGGTGGCCCTTGACCTCCGGCAGCTTCGTGACCTTGGGCATCTTCCTCATCTGAGCGGTTATGAGGCTTCTTCACCTCCACCTCTTCTGGTGTTGCCTCTTCCTTCTGCACTGGGTAACTGTCTCCACCTCTCCCCTCAGCGCACATCAATGTCGCAGTTTTACTGACTTAAAATATGACTGTTAGTAGTCGTTGTCTGCCTTAATATCATGAAGATTTAAGAATTAAACGTATGTGCAACATCTTGAAGACTACGGTGCTCATTACCAACTCCAAGGCTGAGGGACTGATTACCTCGTCTTTTGTATATAGTTCTACAGTCTTCAAATTATGTCCTTGAATTTGTATTGATAAATCCATTGGATGGCGAAACGTGTACACAAAGATACCCGAATGTTGCACATGCGTCTAATTCTTCATCTTGTCCGTACTGTATAATATTCATCAGTACAATGTATTAATTCAAGTTGACTCTCACTTGTTTACCTTCTTTCCATCATTTACTACATAACGATCACTACATTTATTATTGTTGGAAAGAAATGGTATAAAATACCGACACGATGGATAAAGACACAAATGCAGTATAATACGATCCTTTAATGACAACGTTTCGGCTATACATTGGGCTTTATGAAGTCACAAACAGATCTACGTGAGTAGAGAATATGTTCGTATTATATAGGGAATGTAGTGACGTTAAGAGTCAGGTGATATATTTGAGATTTTCTTGGGTAACAGCTTGGATAAATATTATCCTCGTCATCACTTTGTGATAAATGAGACACTTGTGTAATATTTCAGTATATTCTGGAAACATTTCTCCAGCCAGTGGTAGCTTTAGGCCAATACAAAGAAGAACGGTAGAAGATACACACACACACACGTGACCTAGTAGCGACCAGTGAAGAGGCGGGGCCAGGAGCTTGGACTCGACCCATGCAACCTCAACTAGGTGAGTGCACACACATGCACACATGTTGCAGATGATGTGAAGTTGCTGAAAAGAATTCAATCGTACGAGGACCAGGCAGAACTACAGAGGGATCTGGACAGGCTACAGGTCCAGCAACTGGCTGCTGGAGTTCAACCCCACCAAGTGCAAAGTCATGAAGATTGGGGAAGGGCAAAGAAGACCGCAGACGGAGTACAGTCTAGGGGGTCAGAGACTACAAACCTCACTCAAGGAAAAAGATCTTGGGGTGAGTATAACACCAGGCACATCTCCTGAAGCGCACATCAACCAAATAACTGCTGCAGCATATGGGCGCCTAGCAAACCTCAGAACAGCATTCCGACATCTTAATAAGGAATCATTCAGGACCCTGTACACCGTGTACGTTAGGCCCATATTGGAGTATGCGGCACCAGTTTGGAACCCACACCTAGCCAAGCACGTGAAGAAACTAGAGAAAGTGCAAAGGTTTGCAACAAGACTAGTCCCAGAGCTAAGAGGTATGTCCTACGAGGAGAGGTTAAGGGAAATCAACCTGACGACACTGGAGGACAGGAGAGATAGGGGGGACATGATAACGACATACAAAATACTGAGAGGAATTGACAAGGTGGACAAAGACAGGATGTTCCAGAGATTGGACACAGTAACAAGGGGACACAGTTGGAAGCTGAAGACACAGATGAATCACAGGGATGTTAGGAAGTATTTCTTCAGCCACAGAGTAGTCAGTAAGTGGAATAGTTTGGGAAGCGATGTAGTGTAGGCAGGATCCATACATAGCTTTAAGCAGAGGTATGATAAAGCTCACGGCACAGGGAGAGTGACCTAGTAGCGATCAGTGAAGAGGCGGGGCCAGGAGCTCGGACTCGACCCCCGCAACCTCAACTAGGTGAGTACAACTAGGTGACTACACACACACACACACACACACATACACATACACACACACACACACACACACACCCCACACATACACACACACACACACATACACACACCCCACACAACACACACACACCCACACACACACACACACACACACATACACACACACACACACACAACACACACACACACACACACACACACACACACACACAAAAACATACACACACACACACACACACACACACACACACACACACCACAACACACACACACACACACACAAACATACACACACACACACACACACACATATACACACACACACACACACACATACACACACAACACACACACACACATACATCACACACACCACACACACACACACCCCTGCAACCACAAATAGGTGAGTACAAATAGGTGAGTACACACACACACACACACACATACACACACAACACCACAC